TTGGAGTCCCAGCTGTCTTCTGGAGCAAGGAGATTCAAGTCACAAGGAGCATCGACTGGGTCCAGAGGCTGCGCTCACCTCCTGGTTCTTGCTGGTAGTAAAATCCCCACGATTGCTTTTCCCACAGCTCCTTTCAAACTCAGCAGATGTCAATCACAAGGAATCCTGTTAGTGAGCACTCACAACTGAATCCTATCAGGATCTTTCCCCGCCATCTTACTCAGACCCATCAGGAAAAGGTTGTTCAGTGGGAGTTAGAGATTATGGTTGCAAGTCACATTATAAAATTCACTGCCCTGTATTGGCCTACTTCTATCAAGGGTACTATATTCTCAGTCAAACTCCTTGAGTTTCTTAGACTCTGTTTTCATGTCTCTCTTATAAATCAGTTTTTAAGTGTTATTGGTCAGTTATAATTTTTCTGTTTTTTCAGATGAAAATTTTGTTCTGCTGTACTGCTTCATGTATTCAGTTGACCTACTTCTTCCTCAAGAATACTCTACACTTGCGTTTGACCTTTATAAATCTATCTCATCCAGGTATAACTGAAGTTCTGTCTCCTTTTAGGACCAGACAACTTATTAAGCAATTTGGCAATCTACTGTGAACATAAATTCTGGATTCAGCTTACAAGTGTTCAAGTATTGCCTCTCAAACTACTATGTATAAATTAGACTCTGTGGCTTGGCTCTTTTATTTGATTATAGGAATAGCCATCCTAGTCTACTATAATTATTAATCATGGTATATTGATGTTGATCCGAATAAGAGTGATACACAATTCGCAGGATTTTATCTTCATTCTGTTGTTGTCCTATATATTACTTGCAACAATGTCTAGCATCTTACCCAACAAAACTAATCCTTGTCATCAAGTTGATTCAGATGACTGTGACCCTCTACAAGGATTCCCAGACTGTAAATCTCTCCAAGAGCAGCCTCCTGTTTCTCGCACCCAACAGCTGGTAGGGTTGAGCTGCCAGCTTTGTGGTAAGAGCCCAGTGCTTATGCCACATTGCCACGTGCTCCTGGTCTGGCACATAGTAAATAAAATACGTGACTGTTGTCATTATTTCCCTTCACTACCAGGATCTATCTTCTGTACTGAAAACACTCATGATTTGTGGCACTTTAATCTACATTGCTTTGTGGAGCTTCTCGTATTGTTAGCATTTCATAGTGTTTTCCTTAAATCCTGAATTGTCACCCTGGGAAATATTTACTTCTTTGTATCTTTCATATGACCTAGCAAAAATGCTGGAACATTAGATATTTATAAAATTATAAACAAAATATACTCTAAATTCCAAGAATATCTAGAGATTTTCTGTTAGGATGAAAATTATGCGGATTATTTAGCAGAGGATATGTTATCTCTTTTGCAGGGTTTTTAAATCTGAAGTACAAAGCCTTTAGAGCAGCCTCGCTGGGATCAATTGTGCTGACAAACAATGAATTCCTTGGGGTCCTGATCCTGAAGGATTAATGTTGCCTTTGGATGCCATATTTTGGAACAAAAATTAAGCACATGTTTGAGAAAGGCGCTCCCTGTGACACTGGTGGAGGAAATTTCAAATAAAATTCATCAGCACGCTAAAGAGAGATGGAAAAGTAAATTGCATCTTTTTAATTGATTGCACTGTAAGAGGTACCTCCAAATTCTCTCCTAAATCCATCATAAAAGTAATCTTAGATTTACATTAGAATGATAGAATAGTTCTCATTTACTTCGATGACTGTATTTATTTTAACTTCGTAACTTCCACTAGCACGGCTGCTTTCAGTTGGTTCTGACTCATGTGGACCACACGGGACAGAGTAGCATTTCTGAGGTGGTAAACCTTTATCGAGAGGACTGCCTCATCTTTCCTCCTCAAAGCAACCAATGGTGTCAGCAGCCTGACCCTGAACACACTGCAGGAGGGCTCCTTAATTTTCTAAGGGAAGCCCACATTAAAGAAGGGCCCCATAGCCAGGTAGAAGGGATGAATTTAGGAGGCCTACTTGCATTCTAACCATTCCCCTTTTCTCTCCTGATAGTGGAATGTAGATGCTGTGAGATCAGAAAGCTTTTCCAATCTGTTTAGTGCTATGAGGAGGTTTCAAAAGGTTTGTGGAAAAGTTCCACTATCTTTAATTCAAATATTCTCTGAACCTTTTGAAGACTACATATTATAAATCTATGTTGCGTTAAGTAAAAAACAAAACAAGAAAAAAAAAAGAACATTTAGTGGCATTTTCTGTGTTCTCAATGACTGTGAGAAAATGAGAAAAGTGTTGGATAATGGAGTCCTTTTACCAGAAAAGCTTTGAAGTGTACAGATCATATGCACATTAGATTGACATGATTTTGTATAAATTGTTGAAAGCATTATGAGGTTATAAAGTAATCTGGGCATTTCATGAAGTTCTTCATTCAATACAAATAACAATTTTACATGCACATGAAAGTAAAAATATATATTTCAGAATGCCAGAACATAGATAGGTGCTTTCAGCATCTTGTAAAATTATTATCCCTCTTTATTTTTCCATCTCCATTATCATTAGGTCCATTAAGGATTTTTACACGTTGCCTGTGTTTGTCTCTAGTCCTGGTCCTATAGGTTTGCTACGAGTTGACAGTGAGGTTTTTTTCTGTTAGTCTTTGCTAACCAACCAAATGCACATCAAATATTTTCTGCCCAAAATATCAGCTCCAGTTGTTTATATTAATTTTCTCAATTTTTAACATTTTCATTAGCACATGCTATAGTGGAAGTATGGCTAGTTGGAGAAGTATTAATAGTGAAATATAGCATTGAAGTAGACACTATCAATGTCAAAAGTAAGTAAAAGACACTCAAAACTTGAAAATCTTAAACTGTCTCTTCTTTACTTGTTTGTGAAAATGAACAAGATCTAAACAATTTTCCGCAAATCCAGTAGAAGAATTTTTGTTAATAAATTAATTAAAATGAAAAAAGAAAATGATCTCCACTGCCCTTTTACTTTCCTATTCACTTTCTTTTACATAATACTGGAAAATGGACCAGGGAATAATTCATGAATAGCTGAAGGCGAGCTGGAGAGTGCACCATTGTGTTTTATGTCATACTTAAAACTGTAGGACATATTCTTAAGTAGCTCTTGAAAACTTAGTGGTGAGGCATTGATGTGTTCCCAACAATTGAGAAATAGTCTTTGCGTTTTTAGAAGCTACAACAGGAGAAGACCATGTGACTAGAGATATGGTTTTATTTATTTGTATTTCCTTCTTATAATATTGAGTGATTTGGGAATCTAGTCTTTGATGGACATATTAATTGAAGAAATAATTTTGAATAAAATAAGGAGACCCAAACAGATTGCTACCCCCTTTTGCGTTTAATATAAGAGAAAAATGTTCCTGGGGAAAAGCTGGCTTGACAAATCTAGAGTTGGAAGAAATCCTTATATTTGGCAAATATTAAACCTGCTCAACACAGGAATAGTATTTTACTTCTTTGTTTGAAATGCAATCCTTTTTACTGTTCTATTGAAGGCTTCTTTGACTTGCTTGTTTCGAAGGGTGTAAATAAATGGGTTAAGCATAGGGGCCACTGAAGTAGTGAGTAGACCTACCACCTTATTAAGGGCCACTCCTGCCTCTGCTGAGGGTTTAATGTAGACAAAGATGCAGCTGCCATAGGTGATGGAAACTACAATCATGTGGGAAGAACAGGTAGAAAAGGCTTTTTTTCTTTGTTGAGCAGAAGGGAATTTCAGAATGGTGTTTATGATGTATGTGTAGGAAAGAACCACACCTAGTAAGGTAATAATCAATGTTATCACGGCAAACGTTAAAATAACTTTTTCTATGAGAATTATGTCAGAGCAGCATATCAATAAAAGAGGATAGGTATCACAGCCAAAACTATCAATGAGGTTTGAATCACAGAATTCCAGCTGGAGACCCATGCTAAGAGGTGGGAGGACAATTAGTAGGCCAGAAACCCAGCAGGAAATAATAAGTCGAGAACACACCTTGTTGTTCATGATGGTCGGATAATGCAGGGGCTTACAGATGGCCACATAGCGATCATAGGACATGGCAGCCAGGAGGAAAAATTCAGTTGCTCCAAAGAGGACCCCAAAAAATATTTGGGTGGCACAACCATTATAGGTAATAGTGTTATCTCCAGTTGTCAGGCTGTAGAGGTATCTGGGAATACAGACAGTGGTGAATGAGACTTCCAAGAAAGAGAAATTTCGGAGGAAAAAATACATGGGAGTTTTAAGAAGGGAATCCAGAAGTGTGAGGGTGATAATTGTCAGGTTCCCAGCCACACTCAAAAAGTAGGTGAGGAATAAAAATATCAAAAGAATGATTTGTAAATTTGGGTCATTTGTCATCCCCAGCAGGATGAATGTTGTTACTGTCGTGTGATTTCTCATCCCCTCCTCGTGTCAAGAACGGTTGAGCCTGAAGAGAGAATTGACACAAGAAGCCAGCTGGCAGCATGAATGAAAGATGAAAACAATATTAATGTAATGCATTGGGCATTTGGATAGTAGAGTTTTCCTAGGAATATTTAAATATTAACCTAAGGCTAAATCCACTAGTTAGCAGCCATGTTTATAGATATCAACTGAAAACACAAAGCATTAATCATTTATCTTCTTTTATATGTTGTTTCTCATTGTCATTGTCTTGGTTCACATCTCTTATTCGTTCTAAAGTTACAGACTAGATGATTACTTTGACATTTTTTTTCTTACAACCTCATTTTTTGGCTTTTGCTGCAATACTTTTCAGCTCTACTTTTGGAACAGATAATTTTTTCAAATAATATATTTTATGGTCTCTATTGTGTCAAATATGTCCACAAAGTGTTTGCATTTTTAATGATCTCAGTTATCTCAAATCAGAGGCAAAAGTCTAAAATACGAAAATGTATATTTTTGCTGTTTATTCTGTATTAAAATAAATGAAAAGATTTTGATGAACTTATAAAAGTTATTTACATAGAATAGTTGTGAAAACATGTAAGCATAAAAGGACTGATCACCACGATTTGTCCTGTCACAGGCCTTGAACCACGGCCAGCGCACATTTGGAATGGCTCTGTACTACTTGCTCTGTCAGCCTGATCAGCCGGGGTGCTCTTCCATCAATTACCATTGCTTCTAACCCTCTGCTCATCTCCCTTGACTTCTTAATATTGAAACATGCCCACCCAACATCCAGGAACAAACTGACCAAATGAACCAAATTTTGTTAACCAATTTTGTAAAGCCTACTTTTCCTTGGCATTACCGTTGTCAGCTCCTCCAACCATTTTGATGAAGCTTTTAACTGCATTTTGATATTTTATACCTTCTCAGAAAGCTGATTAGATGGGGAAGAGAGATGTCAAGAAGATCTCTTCCCTTCAAGTCAAAGCCAGCCTTCCATAAGATTCCCATTGGGAACATCCCCTCTCAAATAACTACCCTGGGAAAGAAGATCTGGTAAGCACATTCTCACTGTGGATGCTATTAGTTAAAAATTACACTATATTGAATAATTTATTTGTCTGTTTTTAATTAGTGGGAATTGCTTGATAAATGAGGAGTGTATGCGTATGCGGTTTTCAGCTCCCAAATGAGATTCAAAAATGCACGATCTGTCTTCTATTACTCAAGTAAATAATGAACAGATAAATATTTAATAATCATCTATTATTTACAGATCATAATATCCGAGACTTAACCATGCATTAAGTGTCTCTCCTAAGAAGCGTTCAGTCTTCCATTGAGGTGATATTTCATTTGAGTGCATGTTCAGTGAGAGAGATGAGAACAATATAAGGAACATTAGGTTTAGAGCAATAATTACTTCGTCATTTCCTGGACAATTACTGTGAATTTTTCTACTCATACTTTCACATCTGCACTGTGTATCTTGGGTCTTTTCCCGTACTAAAGTAGGCACTGTCAGTTGACACTCTTTAACTGCATTAACAAAGGCTACTATGCGGGGATCATCAAAATGTCAATGGAAACAGGAAAACCTTCTCAGTGTATGGGAGACATGGTTGATGGAGAAGTGGTATCTTGCCAAGTATTGTGCAGTCACCAAGAGAAGACTATGAGAGGAGAGGCTGAGGGACTGGGTATGTTTATTTCTACAGTCCTTGCTTCCTTGCTTCCGTCCCACCCACCATGTCATGGATACTACTTGCTGCCACATTGATTCGGGGCCATTGTGAACACATCCGTGGTGGAGTGCAAGGAGTGCAATTGTGCTGCCTATGGTTTCCAAGGACTGATTTTTGTAGATAGATTTTTGGGGGCTTTCTTCTGAAATTCCTCTAGGTAGATGAAAGGGGCAACATTTGGAGTATTATTGGATCACATTAACTCTTTGAACCTTATGTCCTGTAGCGACAGTCAACTTTCTGAAGCCACGACAAAATTCCTAGGTTCTAAAATTTTTGTGTCTTGAATATTCTTTATTCTTTACTTTGAAATAATGTGTGAAGTAATTCACATTCTAATTTGAATGCCCATTAATTTAGTGTTAATACGATCTTGTAACATCTGAAGCATATTTAATAAGCATTACTCTTAGTAAGACGTTAAACTTGTGGTGGCAGACCATTTGCATTGGGCTGCTTTGTCTCTGTCTACATCAAACGTTACAGAGGAGCCCTGGTGATATAGTGGGTTATGCTTTGGGTTGCTGGTGGAAAGGTTAGTTGTTTGAATCCAACCACTGCTCTGCATGGGAAAGACCAGCCAGCCTGTGCCCTTCCAGCTTTGTTGCTGTTGTAGGGTGACACTGAGTCAATTCTGACTCACAGTGACTTTGTATACAGAAACCCTAGGGAACAGTTTTACTTTATCTTATAGGCTTGCTATGGATTGCAATAAACTTGATGGCAGTAAGTATATCATTTTATCTTTTTGAATGGATTTCCACAGGTTTATTTGATGCTGAGTTTTACTTTTCCACCCCAATTTGAAGCACTTGAAATATGAAAGAATTTCATTAAATAGCTAATGCATTTTATGATTTGGCGTCCGTATTTTAGTGACATGACAGTAGGGGACACTACTGGGAGATATCTTTTCCTCTGCCCTTCATATTTTGCATCATAAGTAGTATCCGTTTCCTTGATCGGGATTTATGGTTGGCAAAGAATAAAGGGGACAGCTCAGGAAAATTCTAATATCAGATTTTCAAAATAGCAAAAAATGAGAAATTGCTGTCTACTATCTTGCTGCAGTATCAATAATAATTTACTGAAATTCATATTTGTCAAGCTTTCTCTTTAGAGAATGTAGAAAATATACCATCAGAGTTGCATACTTACTTTTCTGAGGGCCTTGACGGAACCACAATTAGTGGAGCATTGTGTTGGTGAGGAAGTACATTTGCTTCTGCCCCCATCGCATATTCCACATATCTTCCTTCCAAGGTCTACCTCTCTTAAAGCACGAGTGCATGCACATGGACACACACACACACACACACACACACACACTTTTTCAAAAGAAATCTTGTAACAGTTAACTTCACTTAGCCTTTCATTGATCTTAATATATGGAAACTAGTTTCACATCTTCTTTCCTCACCAAATCTAAAATGACACTGGATCCTAGATTTCTAATACTGCTAGTTCACAAGGAACAAAAGAGTGGTGCAAAGTAAAAGCAACTCCTCTCCCTGGTTTGGCAGACGGGCACATCAGCTCTTCCTGGACAGGACACAAACTTACTTACACATTATGAAATACCAAGCCATATATGTCTAGTTTGCTGTGAGTGCCTAGGGAACATAGAACGAACAACAAAAGAGTCCTTGGTGACCAGTTTCAAAAGTGACTAATGAGTTGGCAGTGGAATCAACAATGCAAAAAACATGTCGCTGTGGGAAAAGTGTCCTTGGAGACATTGAGGGTGATCTGATGTCATATGAATTCCATCTTGTGTGCTTTGCTGAATTTTTCTATTTCCATTAGGAATAAGATGAGGGGCCTTCAAAAGCTCACAGCAAGATGGAACTGAAAAAGTAATGGCATATTCCCACAGACCTTCAGAAGGCTTCTCTCATATTTTATTTATCTTTTACATAAATATTATACAATGTGTCAGAGGGAAAAACCATCCACACCTTAAATGTAAATTTAGAAGATTTTTTTTTGGGGGGGATTAGAGAAATATTAGGATGGAAAATATCAGTTTTCCTAGATAAAAAGATGGTGAGTTCAGGCAATAGGTCCCAAGAGGGGTGGGTATAGAGGAAAGAGCAAAGAGATTACAATAAATGAATTGATTGGTTAATTCTTATTGAAATTACAGAAGGGAGCATTAATGAAAGGCCTTTAGTGATACAAATGACTAAATATACTTAAGCATGCCTCAATATTTTAAGCCTGCCTATGACTCAGCCTTTTATAGCATTTATAATCACAATCACAAAAATGTTTACACAATACATACTTTTCAGAATGCATTATTAAAGTGTGTTAAGTTAATGTAAACATTCTTTAAGGCTGCAGCTGATAATAAAAATTATCACCAAGATCCTTCTTTCAAAAACGCCACTTAAAGTTAGATTTAAAAAAATGGATGCATAAGCAAATGTGGTGAAGAAAGCTGACGGTGACCGGCTATTACAAGATATGGCGTCTGGGGTCTTAAAGGCTTGAAGTTAAACAAGCGGCCATTTAGTTATTTGGTTATTTAGCAACAAAGCCCACATGGAAGAGGCACTCCAGCCTGTGTGATCATGAGGTGTCAACAGGATCAGTTATCAGGCATCAGAAGACCCCAAACAAACAATTATATCTATGGGATTGAGGGAGGTAATAGTGGAGACCCCAAACCCATCTGTAGGCAACTAGACATCGCCTCAGAGAAGGGTGACAAGGAAGGGGCGAATAAGCCAGGGTGCAGCATAGCACCAATGAAATACACATTCCTCTAGCTCCACCCCACTATCATGACCCCAGTTCTACCTTACAAATCTGGCTAGACCAGAGAATGCACACTGGTACAGATAAGAGCTCTTGACACACAGAATCCAGGACAGATGAAACCCCTCAGGAACAGTAATGGGAGTAGTGATAGATTTGATTCAATCATTTGGTTTTGGTCAAAAAGGCTTTGTAAAATTCTCCTTTAGAAAAGTTTAAAAATAAATAAATAAATAAAAGTGGCCATCTGAGAAGCAGAGAAATAACCTGTGAAATGCCACACGGTAGGTCTGTAAGTGTAAGACAAGTTTACTTGAATACAGAATACTGTCACACTAGCCTGTTCACTTTATCAAATTCTAAGAGGAGGACAAGCATTTAAGTTTTGTACAGGATGCTATTCCAATGCAGGTTACTGTGTAACTTCATCATTTCCCTTCCATTTATCCCTTTCAGGCATAGGATGAACTACTTATGGTAATGTAAACCAGCGAAAAGTTTTTGATTTGTTTTATG